TTGTACAAAAAATTAAAAATTTTCGAGAAAGTGTTGTTAATCATATTTAGGAGAAGTAGTGAGTGATACATTAAAAAGTTTGTATCTATATCGATCCATATGCATATATTAGCCACAATTTATACACTCTCCTGCTTTTTTTTTCATCACTATTCAACTTAGTGTATTAGTTATATACGAAGTGTTCTACAAAGCAAGAAATTCATGCAAATGAGGATAAAAATGGATATGGCCATAATGTACAGTTATCATAAAATAAGTTTAAGCCATTTGCAATGGTATTGTAAATAAAGATGCATTTTTATTATTACTAAACGATATGATAAGAAATAAAATATTGTAAAATATTTTTAATATATAATCACTGCTGTACAGAAAACTATAAAAAAGCAAAAAAAAAAAAAAAAAAGAGAAACTATTAGTAGATGGTTATGTGTAAGTTAATCTCTCTTCGCGTTACTTTCATTCTTTTCATAAAAACTACGAGGAAGTAATTCAGTCTCAACAACGAAATTTTTATATTAAATGAAATGAAAGGCGGAATGCTAGACATTATACCATTTCTTCTCCCTCAAAAGATGCAGGTCGCTATGAAACAGGAACTGTGTGATTTCTCCTGCAAAATTTCTTTTTTAAATGTTTAAAAATTCTCTCTTGCAGAAAATTAAGCACAACATACGTTCATTTTTATATTTACATTAACTTAACAGATGTAAGCTATGTTATTGGTCAATCGATCTGGCCACAATTACAAAATTTTAAAGAATATAAACTTATTTTTAGTCCAACTCTACGTTATTAAGTCAGCCTCTAGTGTGCGTTCGGTCGGTACTGTTAGTTGTAAAAGTTGTGGTGTATTGTGCATGTCGTAGCGGAGCTTAATATTTTTTGCATGCTTAACACTAGAACAACTTACACTTTGCCGAAATATACCTGTTTCCACCAAAAGGAATCATTTTGATTCGCTACATTTCTCGAACTGCCATGACGGTAGGAAACTGAAATTTGATGCAAACAACATACTTTGATCAATTAAGAATCCAATGTTTGAAAAAATGATTGTGATCTACCTACACACACGCCACGCCAGGCCACCATAAATAAAGTTTTTCATATTTTCATCTAGTACTTTCGATATTTAACTAAATGTTCGCCAAATTCCTAAGCGTGTTTGATTCGAAAATGATCTCGAGCGATTTATTAATACGTACATACTACAATATCCTGACAAGATTTCAATTGCAATTTATTTCCAATAATGTGTGTTACAGTAAATGGGAAATACATTGAAATTGAAATTTTTTCGCCAATTGGGCCCCCTTTGAACTAAAAATGAAGATAATTTTGGTGAACATTTGTATCATAGACTTTAGGCAATATCTTTTACGAAAAAGGTGTAAGCATTTTTCTGAGTTTTTGGCAATTTCTTCTATATTGTAGACGGGCACAAGACAAGATCACACTCATTTCTTAAGCTCACATTCTTAATTGACTATGTCAAATTTCAGGTTCCTATCTGCATTTTTACGAAATGGTAAGTGCTCAAATAAATTGGTCTCTTTTGGTAGACATGGGTATATGTTATCGGCATCTCGAAAACTACACTAGCTAGGAAAAAAGTGATTGTAGTCGTTTAAAGATCTTTTCATATAAATAAAGGTCGTCAAAGAAAATTTAGAACATTGAGTGCTTTATAAGTGCTTTTTTGAGAATCGAAAATTCAAAGGCATCAAAATGACGTACTCGTTAGTTCTAGTGTTAAGCATATGCCGTCTACTGTACATCCTAAACTAGTGTTATTTATTATTGCAAGCCCATACACTATCACTTCGAACCTGAATATTTCTTAAATTAAAGTTAACTTTTATACCCGGTGAAAATCGCGCAAACAGCGCGCTAACTGAAACGAGCGGTTATGGGTATTCGTAGTGTCCTATTGATCCTGTAATGATTGTGAAGGTCAATCATAAACATTATGCGTTTTTCAAAAGCTAACAGCGTGTACTTCATTTTAATTGAAGTTTGCAAACTCAATTTAATTTAACAATTATTTCGATGTGTTCGAAGTGAAAATGTGTATAAAATGTGTGTCGAGTGTATTGGATTGTCAGGGGTCGGCCTACAGCAATCTGCATCGATTAACCTCGATAGCTGTCGATTATCGATCGATTCGCTCGTAACGAATGGTTGTCAATAAAGTATACAGTTTTCTTCTTACTACAACATATTCAAGTTACGATCGAGTTTACTCGGTACACGACATCTGTAAGCAGGCTACTACGGCAGGTTTGCGGTATTGTCGCGGCTTTATCTTATGGTGTTCTCATGAGATTAACATGAATCTTAAACAGACCTCTTAGTGTTCATTTGGCTGACATTTGTGTTGACGTCTCTATCGCAAAGAGTTGGCGCCAGCTCAAGTATAGAAATAGGCTTAGAGCCTTGAATATGGTTTAGTAAATTGAATGAAAAATCTTATTGAAATATTGGATTTCGTATAAAACAATATTGACATGATACATATATACTATATGAATCTATATACATCTTACGATGTGTTTCCTGCATTTCAGTGGACGAGTATATATGTGATTTAGAAAACAGCAATGAGTGCATTGTTAAGTGGAACTTTTATTATGGCTTAAGAAATACCTTCGCTTGAAAGTTAGTAAACAATCAATCACTTATTTTCATTTTTTACATAGATAGCCTAACAAGTTTTTCTATGTGATGACAAATAAAAACTATCAGATTCTCCGATAGGAATTGATAAGTACACGTGCACATTGTTCTGGTTGACAAATCTGTTTCCAAAAATTCAAGATGAACAGTCAGACGTCCTCTTTATCCCCGCGACAACTAATAGTTTAGTAAAATTTTTCGTAAATGTTGCTAGTACGTCCGTCAAAGCGGATAGTTGCGTTATCGGACCATGTTGACTGATTTTGTTTTGCTTCAAATTTATGCTTTAACCCATTTACATCACACGGAAAAATGGAAAACTTGCTCTAATCACTAATAATTTTTTCTTTTATTGTATTTAAATGAAAATGTTTCCAAATATGAAAGATAAAAACAATATTGCATAAATAAAGAATTTTAAAGGATTTTTATTTCATTAAAGATGACTAATTAATAAAAAAAATGGAATCTAATTATTCTCCGCAACATTAAAAGACTTGAAATGGCCAATGCAGAATACCATTGATAAAATCTAGCTTTTTCCATTTTATACCGTACACTACTTGTGGTGCAGGCCATACTAAGTTAGCGCGGACGTATGTAACAGGCGAAAGGGCTTAAGATAGATCCGCCTTTCGCTATTATACCGATCGATTAAGAATCATGAATCTGATGTCTGATGTCGATCCAAGTAAATTTTTGTTCAAGCTACAGGTCGCAATTCCTGAGGACGAACGCTATTGAAAATGGTTGCATCGGTCCACTTTTTCGACCACTCCCCATATAACAGCCCATTCTGAAAGGACTTTATATGATAAAAATTGCAACTTTTAAAGTTTCTCGGCAAGGGGGACCAAGTAATACGGCAATTTCGGCATTCTAAATTGATATAAAAACTTTGGATCGGCTGGGGAAATCTTTAAACCCTTGATGATAGTGAATTCTAGCATTGGTAAGTAGTGGTCGATCCTAAAATCTCGGATCGTCTATGCTGATAGATAACGATGGATTTCAGTACGGTCTATGGATAAGGGAAAAGGTAGTGATAATCTCTCGCATCTTTTATTATGCATTCGCCATCCAATTAGGAGAAAATGTTTTTACCTCTGTTACTTCTGGATTCTCTCTTATGCATCACTGTACTTGTTTTAACTGCTCTTCAGTTCACTATTAAGATTTGATCAAACACACTCTGTGTTGCTTATTTTACGTGCGAGTTACAGCCCTCATCAATCGAGCCAAACACAGTCAAATCCAAAATTGCCTATAAGTTGTAGTCAGTAAACTTTAACAGTAGACATTAAATCAACATTTTCTGTCAAACGTATATTACATTATTCTTTTGATCAACTAGTAAGTCTAGTAAGAACCTTTTAAAATTTGCAAAATATTTCAGAGGTTGTAAATATTGACATGATTGTAAAAGAAATATGAAGCAGTAAATAAAGTGATTGCAATAGGCAAACTTTGTTTTCCATTTTTTTCAAGGAAAGGTTACGAAGCAACATAACTCGAGCCGAATAAATAATAACGTAGTGATTACATTGATTTTTGCCTCCTGTGAACGAAACATTAAATTATTTTTTAGCAAATATGTACTATGAGGAGTGAAAGTCGTCTCCCCGTTTTGACCTCATATATCCTCTGTCTTGCTGAGGGAGGATTAGGCTAAGCTAGTAATAAGTTGATTATTGATATGTTGACCGACAGTTTTGAGAGAACCCAATCAGAAAACAGCTGCTTTCTGCTTGAGGTACGGTAAGGTTGGCAAAAGACAATTTAAACGAAATACGAGTTACATGACTTCCGTCATCGGGACCAACCATTTCCATCTTTGCCCTTTTTGTCTTCTTCTAAAATAAATTTTCTCTACATTCATCCGAATGAATTGTGATAATGCGGGACAAGTAAAGACTTTGAGAGCGAAAACGGCGTTCAAAAGAGATAAGCGGTAGGTAATCTACGGTTAATTGAAGAAATAAATTTATTATAGCGATTTAGGAAATGGGCGAATTGCCCATCCATCGCTGTTAACGTTCAATATTTTTTATTTGTACGTGCCAATAAATTCGTACAAAGTTTTGTTATTTCATTTTACCAATCATACGATTCGTGTTATCAGATGTTTTCTTTTATTCATTCCATCCGTTAGTAGCTAACGAGAAGAAGTTGCATGGTAACATTAAAGCGTCAGTTAAAGTCTAACTGGATGTTCTGAAGTACTTTTAATATAAACTCCAACTTAAAGATCTATTCAATACGGCACACAGGATGCAAAAACCAAATATATATATACGTTTGTTGTTTTTACTTACTTGTCGGCCAATAAACCGCCCAATGGAATGTCAATAAACCGCCCGAGTTCCACATATACGGTAAATAAACCGCTCGAGTTCCACAAATACGTTTATTACGGTTAAGACAATCTCTCTTTTAGAGTTGCATTTAGAATAAAACTGCGGCAAAAAATTATATATAAATTATATGATATAAATTATGTTAGCAAATGAATTATTAATTCATAAAAAATTTCTTATTATAGTTTGCCGCCTATTATTTTGTTTAGGGATGAAAGCGGTTATGATTTCGATTACAAAGACGTTGTTAACAATTATGAATTGTTGCTACGTGTGCAAAAAGAAACTTTAAAATTTACTTTGCAAAAAAATTTCTTTGTCTACATCAAGATTGTGAATTGCAAGTATAATGATGTGCAAAAGAATTGTTGCGTCTTAAAACATTTTATCGGCACTCGCGTGTCAGCGAGCTGCCCTTTAGATATGTATTTAAACAAGTGTATTGAGTTATCCCGATGATTTTGTTGTTAGTTAATTCGCTCGCTGCCTCTTGAATGGGGTATCTTGAAAGCAATTTGGTTGTGCATTATGTACGGTTTTCGTCAATTCAGCTTTGTTATAAAAATCGAAAAAAAAGGAGAGAATTGATTTACCTTTCACAAATTTAGGATTTTTTGTTTTGGTTTAGCCATTTACTTATGTAAATAATTTTGCTTGCAATTTATTTTGGAATTTAAGCTGTTTTCTCTTACAAATGCACCTCTAAACTACCAATAGCAACTCTGGGACACCAAACTAAGCCAAAACATGAGCTATTTAGTTTACCACTGGTTTGACAACTGTGGGAGAGCGTTTGTCGAATCCACTGTGCATACATATAGAAAAAAAATTGAAAATGAAACCTACTTAACACCGTATATAATCACTGCACTAGCTCTCATTCATAGCGGAGTCATGATATACATGGTTACGAACAAGGCGCAACCCTTAGGTTATTCCATACTTGGGAAAATGAGGGTAATGGGTGTCTATTTTTATTATGTTTAATCTGCTATTGTGGATTGGATGCCCTTTAAAGGAGAAAGGCACAGCTCGTTGGTCAGTGTCCGCATTATACTTTACATCACTTGTAGCATAGGCTACATTAAATTTGTGCGGATGTCCAGAAAGACTAAAGAACAGACTCACCTTCTATTACACAGATACATTTAGAATCAACTTTTGTATCGGGGTAAGTTTGTCTGTCCGCCTGTCTCTATATTTTTTGTTGAACCTGCAGGTCGCAAGCAAAAATAATTCGGATTAGTCGTTGCGAGCAATGATCACTAACGAGTTGCAAAAGGACTTGAAGTTTTTTGGTTAAAAAAAAAATGGGTTAGGTTTCCTTACTGAATTGACGATTTTATGGAAATATTTTGAAATATTTTGCGTTACTTAAAGGATATCTGAAAATATATTTTCAACTTTTGGCTGGACGTATTTTAAACATAGTGGAGTCCTGTTGTTTTTGACGGTCATTCTTAAGTAAATATTGTTATATAAATGGACTTGTATTCTTTAGAAACTCCACACGTCTGCTCACACTATATTATATAAATTTTGTACGAGCTTGCAAGCTCCTTCAAAGCCAGCCCGACACCTTCCTGTTTATCACTTGACGAGCTGAATAAAACAATCTAATTGAGCTCATTGTTTGCCACATACAAAAATGTTATATTGAACAATACATGTAAAAACACCAATACCAACATAAAAGCTAATAACAAAACTTTTTTTAACTAAAACATTTCAAAAAATATCGATTACTTTAAAAGATACTAGCACGAAAGAATTTATGATGTAATCAAATACATTTTAATAAATCATTTGAGCACATTATAAATTGAAATGGAATTTATCTCTCTTTGTATTCCTTCTAACACAAATTATTCAAGGTAAATCGATCGTATATCGTTACACATAGATCGTTACTTAGGACGTTTTCCCATGAATTTCACTTTGAGCCGATTTCATTACATCCCAAGCACCTTTCTCGATTAACTGCTCCGCCAACATTTGACCCAATTTTCTACTTTTTTCATAAAGCTCACGGTTATGAGGAGGGAGACTGTGTTGGTATATACCGCAAAACACATTTTCATTTATATCATTATTTACTTGATCAGTTTTTAGTTTGCACTTCTCCGTAACATCGTTTAATGTTATCTTTTGCGAAGAGAGATTCGCCTTGTGGGCAGAGTCCGAAATTATATGATCGGTACTCGCGTTTAAAAGGGCCGTAAAAGGGCATTTAGAAGAAGTTGGAATATTTGTCCAATCTTTTTGATCAAATTTTGATTTTATTGGGCATTTATCAGAGATAGCATGCGCAATTTTCATATCATTATTTACAAAGGGACACTGGCCCATAAAATCTAAACCGATATCGGTGGGCAGTTGATTAGCATGAACAATTTCTTCGTTATTCTTTTCAGTATTTTCGTAGTTTTTCAGTAGTTTTGAACTTCTAACCGGGCAATCTTTTACCAAACTAACATGTTTTTCAACCAAATCTTTAATATCAAAACCTTTCGACAACTTTGTAAAATTCGTATTGTCAATAACTGGAGTGGGGGTGATATTTCCGATTCCTAAGGCATTAGTAGTGGTATCATTTAACCGCGTCTTTTTTCTTGGTGGTTCGTCTTCTATACCTGTATTAATTAGAATGTCTATTGTCTTGCCCTTTTCAACGTCCATTGGATGTGATATTTTGTCACGAATTTCTGTCGTGCCATCTAAGCTCCATACTGCTCCATCTAAACGAAGTTTACCATTGAATTCACTAACTACTGCCACAGGAGCGCTGCAGCCGCCGCCAAGTGTTTTCAAAAAACTACGCTCAGCTAAAACACAACAAGCAGTTTTAACGTCGCACATAACGCTGCCTAGCATTTCCAAAATTTCAGTGTCCTTTGCTCTACATTCAACTGCCAAAGCACCTTGACCAACCGCATACAGCAGTTCAGAGGGTTCCAATTTCTGGTTAATACGAGATTTCCAACCCATACGAGCCAATCCAGCGTAAGCTAATATAATGCCGGCAAACTTCGAGTCGTCGGCATCTAACTTTCCAAGCCTAGTATTTAAATTGCCGCGTATATCGCATACTGTCAAATCGGGAAACCGTCTTCTCAGTTGGGCGGTGCGTCTAAGTGAAGAGGTACCTGAAAAAATTAGTTAACATTTACATTCTTTTGCCGGATCACCCGTACATTCCATATAAAGTCTTACCGATTACACTTCCTTTCGGCAAATCACCTAGAGTAGTATTTTTATCGAATTTCTGCTTGAGAACTAGGGCATCCCGAGGATCTTCTCTCGTTAAAACAGCCCCAATGATCATACCGTTAGGTAACGTTGTGGGCAAATCTTTTAAAGAATGAACTATTAAGTCAATATCTCCATTTTCCAGAGCATCTTCGAGATCTCTGGTAAAGAGGCTTTTTTCTCCAATCTTTGGCAGGGATTTGTTTAAAATGCGATCGCCAATAGTTGTCATAGTACCTGCAAATGTTCTTAACGATGTAGATAGTGGATGAAAACGTCTGACGCACGGCAGACATAGATCTTCCATCTATGCATACCTATTTGTAGACATATCTTCGTCTCTAACGTTCTAGTACTTACGAATTTCAAACGTTTTCTTTGGGTGCAATTTTTGCAGACGATCAATAACGTATTGAGTTTGTTTAACAGCCAACTGCAGTAAGAGAAAAGCAAAAGAAGAAATATCATATACCGAAGGTAAGTAACACTCGGACTCGTTGACTTCAAACTGTGTGGTAATAAAATGTGCGTAATTAAAAATGTATATAGTTTATTTCTATCTGCGACGATTCGTTTGATACGATTGATAATCTTCCTGAGTATTTGATATAAGGACCTTGATCTTTTAACAAGATTGGAGACTTGTTCGCAAAAACTTTAAGAGAAAAAAGACTTCATATCTCATGTGCAAGAGGGAAAGCAGAATAATTACATAACATAGATTTAATTATTATAAATTTTTTATGAAAAATTCAGACTCTTTAAAAACACTAAATTTCTACTGCAATATTATATTTTATAATTACAACTCTTCCACTGGACCAACCATAAAATTCGTTAGAACAAATTCCGAAAGACTCCAGAACGACTCGAGAATCATGTGAAAGCGGTTGTAATTACGATAAGAAGTCTACGTTAAAACGATTGAACAATTTCCAGTTGCCATCCGGCCTCTGCTAAAATTAAAAAAATATATATATATATATTTTATACCCTGTATGTACTCTATTTTGTTCGCTAGCACAGAAACTGTATAATCATAACCTTCATTAATAAATGAACAAATGATGTAATAAATGATGCTGTCGCGGAAAAAAATGTTGTCCAAATTTATTTTCAAATTAAATAAATGAGAAGATGAATTTTCATAATTTCTAAACGTGGCCGTCAAGGAGACCTCGGGGCAATTTTAACTCATATCCGAATATGCAATATTAACCCTAATATCTCACCTCACTTTTTCTTGATCCCACACGTATTCTCCCTTTGCTTGCCATATCCTTCTTTTAATTACTATCTTATGCACCGATAACAACAACTATAATTGATAATATTTTGAGCTTTTTGTAAATCTTAGTTAGCAATGAAATTCATGAATGAATTCGAAGTAGCCATGTCAGCTGAGTTTAGCATAGAAAACTGTAAAACATTATGATAGTCGCAAATTATGCACATCTGATAAGATAACAACGAACTTTAGCTATTAACTTTTCGTGAAGGCAGAGTGAAACGGGATTAAATTACTTAAACGTACATTTTGTACAAGAATCGATGGTTTGAAAAGTATTCGAATTCACAAATGCAAGGACGAAAGCTTAATTTATCATCGCGATTATCCCCCATATTCCTGATAAGAAAAAAAACAAAAAATACATACGACATCGTAATAAGCTTTTTATTTGTTTATTAACACCAACATACAATATACAAATTATGGGGGATTTTAAAATAAAATATTATAATATCTATGACGTTAAAGTTGTGTGGAATGTCGCTAATGTATTTACAAAAAGTACTAACTGTATTGGAAAATGAATTAACTTTATAAATACATTTTACATTAATTAACATAATTGTATTTGGAACATTTGAAATGAAACGACTGTCTATCTTATTGAGGTCGCCATCTTGAAAACAAGGTATAATTTTGAAATAAAAATTGTTTAATGTAACTTCGATAAATGTTGGCAGTACTGGCTGAGCAATGTATTGTCATTTGGTTGCTTGTTTTTACAACTATGTCTGGAAATTAGAGTAAATTCGTCACACGTGAGAAATATATTTATTTGGAAAAAATATTTTCGTTGGCGGAAAATGTTAGAGATTAATAAAACGGCACTGAGTATCGCTGCTGGAGTAGCAGGCACTTTGTTTATTGGATATTGCATTTATTTTGATAATAAACGCAGAAGTGATCCTGATTACAAAAGGAAAGTTCGAGAACGTATGTGCAGAAACTTTTCTGATTATTGTTACATAAAATTCTTATAAACATTTTTCCACAAGCAGGAAGAAGAAAGAATCGCAAAACTGGTACCGCGAGAAGTGGACTTCCAAGTCTCAATGACCATGAAGCCATTGAAAGGTGAGTACGAAAATTTCAATGGATAATTTTAAAAATGGACTCCCTCTATTCTTAAGTTTTTCTGTAACATTTCTATTTGACATTTTTTATATTTGTTCCCTTTTTAAAAAACTCCCAGAAAAAGTGAAATTTTTATGCCTATTCTATTGGGATTTTTCCAAAGTATAATTCTTCTCTTTCTACGGAAGAAGATTTATGAAGATTCAAGGAGCTAATACCGTTATATAGGACAGTAGTAATTAGTAAAGCATGGTTTTTATTAAAAGAAAAGAAAATCCAAAAAAGCAATATACTTCATTCAGCATAAAGTCCTTCCTTAGCGGTATTTTTGTGCCCTAAATAATCAAGAGATATCCAGTTAAATTCTTTTGTTCTCTTGCTTCGATAAAAAGGTGGCTGTGTGCTTTGTCGAAAGGTAAATTACATTCACTTCAAAGCCTTTGTTAATAGCTAGCTATTGATATGACTTCCATTCAGGTCATCTTACAATTAAATGTAATTATATTTGCCGGCAATTGCTATTGACAATTTCACATCATGTTGTCCCGCTTTCACAAAGCGCTTTCTTCTCTTTCTACTTAGGCCTGCAGTTGTTTACGTTTTATTAGCAGATAGTTCTAAGAAGCATTAAAACAAGACACATATAACAATTTTTTTTTGCCACTTTCCTCTCGAAAATTAAATGTAGTGAATGAAAACATTTGAAAAATACTACAGCAGATAGGCGTTAAATGTTACTACGCTACATATAAGCATTTTGCGCATTGAGCTTTTTGAGCATTCATGACATGTATACACAATTCTCTTGATTTTTTTTCTTTTGTTTTGAAAGTATCTTTTCCTTTCTAAAATTGTGTTGTAGAAAATGTGCTTATTATCGGTTTATTGAGGGATTTTCGTGAATCTTCCGCGCACGCAGTTCAATTTGTGTATACAGAATGAGTATACTTTATCTGACCAGTTTATTGTGCAAGCTAAATAAAGACGCAATTTTGTAAACTAGGTTCTTAGGCGTTGTAAGATGGATAAACGAGCCTGTGGTGAACAGAAAAACAAACCTTGAAGACATTTATTTTCTGTTCAGAAAAATGTTGAGATTTTGAAATTTGTGAAATAGTATTTAATTTAGTTTTTGTTTGTATATTATGTTAAAGGCAGACTTGGAAAATTCCAAGTTTTTCGCCTTCTTGACTTCTGCACAAAAAAAAGAATAGTCGAAATTTTGCAACTAAAAATTTTCATTCAATTTTTGTTATTTTAGATATTTCTTACAGGAAATCCAATTGGGTGAAACACTAATCGCACGCGGGGATTTCGAAAGCGGCGTTGAACACTTAGCGAATGCATTGGTTGTTTGTGGGCAACCGGCGCGATTGCTGCAAGTGTTGCAAACCACACTTCCGGCCCAGGTATTTGGTATGCTTATAATGAAAATGCAAGAGTTTGGGAATAAAGCCAACAATGAAAACAATGAGACTCCAAAAATTGCTACATCCGACAAAATTGCACCAGACATGTCATCGATTGGCTTGGAGAGTTCTTCGGATGCAGTAATCATTGACGATTTGGAATAACTTTAATAAATACCCTACAAATGAAAAATGCTTTTCACGAAATTCTTACAAATTTAAACAGTGAAAAATTCATATTAAACATTTTCCCCTTTGTATAATCAATACATGTGCGAATTATTAAAATAAATTTGTTAACGTTTGCTCGTGAGTGACATGTATAATTATCAATAGATCTCGAAATAATGTAAATATCGACTTTTGGGAATTTTCCATACGACATTTAAATGAATGCTTATATTTGTCATTAAAGAAAACCTCTGTCAATTTCTGATTCCATGTAATCAGTCAAGCCTTTCGAAGTAAATATTATGAAGCATATGTTTAATAATAAAAAAAAAAAACGAAAGAAAAAACAGAAACCCAAGAAAATCATTTCCACATAATTCTACCTTTATGCTTGTATTACAGGATGGAGGGAAAATTCGCTCGATATATGCTATATTTCATTTTACCATATATATTTTAAATCGTTGGCAATTACAGAAAGTAGAAATCATTCTAATGATTATATATTTGAAAAATGTAACTTTTGTTTGCACGCCTCTAAGAAGGGAAGCAGAAGTTAAGTTTCTTATGCGTATGCGTCCGCCATGTTTCTTCGCATACAGTTTCTGAAATTTGAGGTTGATTTTCGAAATTTAAATTAAGATTTTATTACGACTGGAGCCGACGTAAAGTTGAATTGAAGAAGTTTGAAAATAAAATTTGCCTTTATTTGGTTTATTTATTTTTGTATTCTGCCCCATATAAGGGTTAAACGTTAGGTTGCGTTTTTGGCCCGCTTCCCCAGAAATACGCCCATGAAAAATATGCTTTTACATAGAAACAAGATGTAATTTTTGTGTTCTATAATAAAAATAGGAATTGTGCTAGATAATGTTGTGTAGAGCATGTAATGCTCGGCGTTGCTCGACTGTAATGTTCTTATTTGTTTTGAGAAGTCATTACATGGAAAGTGATTGGCAAAGTGATTCTTTTTGAACTATTCCCATCCTGCCGTTTGCGATTCAGGATTTACATCTTTAGAACTTGAAGAAAAGCGAAAATTGGAATACTCTTTATACCACTTTTATCGGAAGTTTTTTTCAATTTTTTCTCCTGATAAGGCATTATATAGCGAGTGATCGTAAAAGAGTTGCGATCTAAACCATGGGATTCGTTTTTAGAATTACCAAAATTCATTAAAATATGTGCAAAATCGCGAAAACGATTCTGAATCGATATAATAAAGCGTAGATCTATCTCAAGTCCTTCTGTCTATTGGATGCATTCACAGAAGCTTAATATCCCCTCCTGTACTGCAATGGCTATAAGGTATAAAAATGGAGCGAAAAAAAGTCTTTGCACAAGCGCTTTCCCCATAATTGGACCGGACCTAATAATGCGACAATTGAACTTTCTATTCGTGCATAGTAGAGGTCGGCAACCTATTACCTGCGAGTCATCGAATGATCCATTTGATTACATCAAGTGACTCACTTTAGATCCGAAAATAATATATAAAATATGTAATATGTAGAATTAAGTTATAAAACGTAAACGGAAAGTCTATAAATAAAGTTCGTTCAACAATAGTTGGAATTATTTTCTTCATAAAACATATCTTATTATTTATGAAAAGTCTGCTTAAATACAATAATATCTCTGAGTCAAAAGTCTCTTTAATACTCACATTGTAGTTGATTTTGATCGGCGGCCAAAAAAGGTTACTGCTCTGCCCTAATCTATTTTATAAAAGTTTTGCTAACGCTTCATTCATTTCCCGTATTCGCGATTTGACTATCGTCACGTTTAAGCGGATGCGAGTTTATTATATAATATTAGAAAGGCAGAAGCAAAACAAATTAATGCGGATTTGCGACTGTTGCTATTTATCATGGGTAGCATAATATAGAGGAGAGTTCCCGATGCTGCCTTTCTAAGAAAAAAAACCTAGCACAGAGACACATCCACCATCAGTACAGATCCAAGTTGCCAGTGAATCCCTAAGTCATTGCGAACGCGCAATAGCTTGGCAACCGATAACAGTAAACAACACCAGCTAATTTTCGAATCATAGCGAGGTGTTAAGATTGCAAGTTAGTTTAAATAAGACGTGGACAAATCGCGCGTATTAAGCGTAGTCGTTTTGATAGACTTTAAAAAGTCCGATATTGGGATTAAGTGATAGACATTATTTGGGTTTCTGCAATGAACTCTGAACGGTTTAAATAGCTCATAATTGCACTTACATTGACTAACCGTAATGAGAATAAAGTGCCTAGAGAAGCGATTAGGGACGTTAGAGTAATGTGGACGAATCGTAGACGAGTACCATTAATTAACTTAATTAAGAAGGAAAGACCGACAATAAATCTACATTTCTCAAGTAACCGTAAGGACAACGGAAGCAAGTTATTTGCATAAGGAGGCAGTGAGACAAGCGGGTCGCATCCCAAATTCCTAAGGGTAAACAGCAAGAATTGCTCATGAATGGATTCAACTGAATCTACATAACACCTGTAGGAAGGAGATTACGCAGGCAGAGCCCTACTTAAGTATTGATCTAACTAAGCGCATGTGTAGCCCTTTAATGCCCTGGATCGTTAAGCTTTTTGGAGCAATCTTCGGTCGAATAGAACTCCTGAATCGATGAACGAATCTACGATTTCAAACCTATGCGAATCAATGAAATGCTCAGTATTGAATGATTTCCTCCTTGAGAAAGCAAGCTTCTTGCAATTTGAAGTGAACATGTAATTGCGATTAAAAGGAGACGGAAGAAAGAGTTGAACATTGTGAACGTACATTAACATCGCCGAGGGGAGATCATTAATGTATAAATTAAAGAAAAAGAGGTCGTAAGTGGCTGCCTTGAGTGATGTCAGACGTCACTTCGTTCAAGGTGATAAAGTTAAACGGAACACAGAATGCTGTGTTATGCAGATAACAGCTTATCCATTTAACTAAATAGCAAGGGAAGAAGGATATGTTTGTAGTCTAACTTATGACAAAAAAAGGACCAAAATAAATCCATTTACTTAATAATCAATACTCCTTGCTTGTGTTTACTTATGAACGTGTTTGACAATTTCATAATATTGCAGTTGTTATGAATTTTTTAAAAGCATATAAACTAACAGTAATGAGAGCTAATTATAGTCAAATGTGCACCCTATAATCATAGACTAGTTTCATTGTTTAGTTGAGTGTTGTTTATTTTTTGCTTTCATTTAAGGTGACATTGCATTGTATAAGTGAATGCCATTCAGCACCGAAATGGCATTAATTTATGTGAAGAATTTTTTTTTTTTTACTCTTATTTCAATTAGAAGCCCTTTAGAGGGCATTCGAGAGATTCGTCTAAAATCAAGTTCTATTTCATTCGGATGTCCTGCTTGATGACGAACGTTTTTCATACCGTTGCGCGTCGCAAGCAAGAATAGTTAACAGGCGAATGAATAAAGAGTGAGACGGGCGCGAATAAATCGTCTTGGAATCTTAGGCCGACCAAGTTAAAAGTCTTCAATACATATTTCTGGGCATTAAAAACCAAAGAAAAGTTCAAGGTGAAGGTGAAGTCGATAAAAAATTATCAATTTTAAATTGAAATTTATACCCAACACCACTTGAGGTACAGGGTATATTAAATTAGCGCGGCCGTATGTAACATTTCGGAGGGCTTAAGGTAGACCCACATTTTATTAATATACCAATCGATTCAGAATCATAATATGAATTGATCTAAGCCTGTCTGTCCGTCTAATCTCAGTCTATATAAATTTGTTTTCAAGCTACATGTCGCGATTCCTGAGACATTTTGATGAAATTGGTGGTACACCGACGTGCTTTGGCCCAAGGACGAACGCTGTTGAAAATTGTTCGGATCAGTCTACTTTTTCGAGCATTCCCCATGTAATGCCCTATTCTGAAAAATCGTTATATGAAAAAAATTGCAATTTCCAAAGTTTCTCCGCAAATGTAACAACGTAGTAGTATTTCGGCATTCATCTAAATTGTTGTGAAAACTTTGGACCAGCTGGGGCAACTTTCGAATCTCCCGCATATACCTGTTTCTGCGGACACTGAAGCTTTTTGTGGTAACAAGTCCGAATATCCAATAATTCATGCTGAAAATTGACGCATAATAGTAAATTGACAAAGAAATCGACCTTACCAAATTTGGACTACGTAAGTCTATCACCGCATATAACCATTCTCATGAAACGTAAACTCTTATATATCAAAGGAAACTAATTGCAAATTTTTTTTGGATTGAGAATTCGCTCATTATAGTAATTAAATAAAAAAAAAATTAGGTGGACTTAATTTGAACCACATGGATCTATTTCTTCCTCCGCTCCATATAAGATATCTCATGATGTCTTAATAGTTTAGAGGAGCATTTCAGCGTAAAGAATTAACGGCCCGAGATTTGGATCATATAGGTCTATTGGTTTGGATTCCCACTTATATAGGCGCCATTCCGAAACATAAACTCTTGTTTGGAGAGAAAAATCTAACCTTTTATTACGTGGGCTTTCATGAAAATTACGGCTTTGCATGAAAATAACGCGTACTTTTTGGTGTATTAGGAGCGAATAACAGTATTAGGCGAATTGGTCGACGTCGCCCGACTATAATGTTTTTGCTTGTTACAAAATTAAACTAATGTTTGAAGGCTTTCTTTCCCAAGCTTATCATAGCAGACAACATCGGAGGATACAAAAATCTATTCGGATTTCTAAGCCTTCATCTTCATGAGAAATTTTTGTGTCTATCTCTCCTCGAAGTATCCTTTCCAACCTGTAAGGCAGGGCCCAACTCTTCGTACAGCAAGTGTTGGGCAAATTATTTAGATTAGAAAACTTTGGGTTATACTTTACGCAGTAAATGCCGCAATATATATGCCAATGGAGTCATATTGGCAAGACAAAGGTTTTCCATAGCCGTCTAAAGGTGCGAGTGCATTAACTAAAATATATAATGGCCCAGTTGCATTTGATGCGCATATTAAAATCATAAACATAGATATGTAATTCTCTCAATTTGATTATCTTTCCATGCATAAGTTGTTTGCGGACTCCAAGACAACAGTTGTATCGTTGATGTGTTATTCGAAATATTTGCAAACTCTTAACTGTTTTTCGAACGATTTTGCTTTATTGAAAAATTTGAATTAATTATGTAAATGATAATAATGGTAATAATTGAAGTGTATTAACATAATTCGTGCAGCAAATGTCACAAGGTTAACTGCGAACATTGAAAAGGCAATTTCGGGCATCGAATGAATGAGTGCCAGAAACCGATTTGCCGATTAGTAGGCTAAGCACTGATGGACGGTCGTGAACATCGCAGATATTTGAAAGCATTTTATAAACATCAATGCTGGGTGTTTCGTTTATTCGGTCTCTGGAAATTATCTGCCGATATGACACAATCCTATCAACTTTTACACGCTCTCTATTTCAATTATTTTCTAACGATGTGGGTTCTATCCTTAGATGCCAGCTGCATAATGCAATTGGTTTTTAAGGCAAGAGATTTAAATGAAGTGATTGAAGTATTTATTATATTCGCTACAGCTCTCGCGGTTCTAGCTAAATTTCTTACCATCAAAATGAAGAATGATTTATACCGTCAATGGTGCGAGATGATTGCAAGCTCAACATTCCGACCTAACAATACGCGCGAAATTCAATTGTTTCAACAATCCCAGAGATTAGCACGTTTAATACGTAACGCTTATTGTGTTCTTTCGTTTATAGCTCTCAATATGTTAATGTGTGTAGTGGATGATAGTGGATTACCTTTATCAATTTATAGCCCCTTTGATACGAATAGAAAGTCGGGCTACTTATTAACCTATGGTTATCAATATATAACCGCTTCAGTATGTTGCTATTTGAATATTGCTTTCGACTCGTTATCGGCCTCATTTCTTATTCACCTTAAAGGACAGATGGACATTTTGTGTGATCGGTTAAAAAATGTTGATAAATATTCGAAATGCAATAATGATCATAAAATTACCGATGAATTGAAAAATTGCATTAAATATTACGAAGAAATTTTAAACGTTGCCCAGATCATTCAGGATTTAATAAGTTTACCGATTTCTATACAAATTGTTTGTTCGGTCTTAGTATTGGTCGCTAATTTTTTCGGAATGACTTTTGTAAGTATTGAGTAAAATTTCTGATATGATGGTGGAGAATGACTTACTCCTTCGTAGTTGGCCGATCCCGGTGATTATGCATTTTTCTTCAAAGTGCTGATCTATCAACTTTGTATGCTCTCGCAAATCTATATTTTATGCTATTTCCCTAACGAGGTAACCGATCGAAGTGAAGCTATTTCTCATTCTCTATATAGCGCGGAATGGTTTCCTTGGAGTCAAATGAATCGTAAATTAACTTTCATGATGATGGACCGGTTCGATGTACCTATCCGCTTTAGATCGATCAATCCCACCTATAGCTTCAATCTGGCCGCTTTCACTTCGGTATTAACAACAAAACATTCATTCTAACATGAAAACATAATATATTTAAATTTGTTTTTTTTTTATTTATTTTTTTTTTATTTTCCAGATTGTTAACTCTTCATACAGTTACTTTGCTTTATTAAGAAATATGAACAATTAATGCAACTTGCAAGAGAAGCACCAAACCCTTGATTTGACCGAAAGCTAACAACCGTGAGACCACACAAGCAGATGCAACGAACATAATAGCTGAACCAAATCGAATGAATAAATATATTCACAAAATGATCACTAACACTAAATATTTAATGCAAATTGTAAGATTATTTAGAACACGATGCTAATAGATAATCAATCCCATAGTATGTTCGAAAAGTATTTTGAAACGTTTTTACAATAATCAGCAAAAGAATATTGCGTAAACTCGTTATTAGTTAATTTCCGATATCCGCACTTCTTACATTAATGCGAATTCTTATTGCGGGATAAGGATTGTTCGTTAGAGATGCGTTGAAATTACCGTCGTAAGAATTATACGTTTTTCTAGGTTATAAAAAAGTCCAGTTTGAACGAATCTATCGATTTGAAACTTGATCGAAACATTGAAAGCCCTTGCGCGCAGGTTGGTATCACAAATAGGCCAAATCGATTAGAGAACTCGCCTCGGTTTTTCATTACGCACCAACCAATAGCAGATAAGTGTACAAAAATTGGAAGAAGAGTGGAAAAGTTTGACCACACCTACTCACTGTTATAGTCTATCAAAGTTTAATTTTTTTTTTTTTTTGAATACGTTTATAAACAGCGCAGAAACAAGCTTCAACAACCCTTCCACTGAAAGTATATAAATCCATGTCCGTCTGTCTGTCTGTCTGTCGGTTAGACCGTCGGCGAAACTAAGAGCACCTTAGTTTTCCGTGTCTCTTGGATCGCTGCTTATAAACTACAACAGATATACGAATAAAATTATTCAATAAGAATATCAAAAATCAACTATGCCCACCCAGGGTTATGGAACAAGGAAATTTATGGTTTTTCTTTTTCTCAATCTTCCTTTTTTTTATAGGATAACGGTGATGGGTGTAAAAAGATTCGGTCGCGATTTTCTTACTTGTTTCACTTACTAGCTCCACTGCTTAAGCAGCAAAATAGTCAAACAGCGATGGCATACAAAGTTTTTCCTTAGCCCATGGGCAACTGGTGCTCATGCATCTGAAGGTATTTAATAATAGTGCTTTAAACATGTATTAGTCCGGCGTACGCTTTGCGTGATGTGTTTTACTTGGATACATGCGGTGTAAGCGCATGCGGTTCCGCGCTGCTCGACGGCATACGAGTTAAGTAAGAAAGACTAATCAAGCGGTGAGCAGATCAATCTCCACCATGGCGGAACCTCCACTACTTTGATAATACTCGATTGATATTTTAGGTGTGGAACATTTTCTCCCTCTCGAATAAGACGTCGCCTATATAATATAACAACAATTCAATGTTTAGTGTCCTCGCGGTTCGCGGTACCAACTACAACGAGAAGGCGTTTTCAGCTCCCAAGCCGGAATCAAAATTATGTTCTCCTGACATCCTTGATACCCTTGAAGAGTTGTTCGCTACGTTCTACTTTATTCACATCAGCAGAACATCTGTTTATACATTTAAATGTTTAGACAAAATTCGGCGGCAAATTAATGAGTTAATGATAATATTATGTTATCCGCTATGATCCCGTACTAGAGTTCATTCTTGCGGCGGAGAATTGTGAATGTCAAGCACTTTCTGCGTAAATTTTGTTCGATGTTGACATTGGCAGTGAATTTCTTTGCTTTGTGTGTAGCTTCAGGGCCTTTTTATCCATAAAAACTCAGTTCCTTTTCAACGAAGATGCGATGAATATAAATACTGTTCAACTTTTGCATACATATAAAGAATTGCTTACACTGAAACTCTACGTCGTAAGAAAGCAAAAGAAGAGCGCAATGTTTGGCATAAGTCAAACAACGATATCGTAGACCAAGGTGTCGGGCAACTGATTATAGATCAGCTTGTATTCTTTTGCGAAGCGATTTGCGGCGCTTGTATACCTTATTACTGTGTATTCCGAAGGTCCGAGCAGTTATTTTACTTAACCGTCTACCGTCCACCCGCTGAACAGGATACATCGGCAAAACTACTTATCTACTTATCTGTACAACGCACTACCATATATATATATATATATATATATAAGTGTACATATATTTATAAAAGGAATATAATATATAAATGTATAAATAAGTATATATGTATATTTTTTTGTTGGGAAACATTTGCGAAGTTCAAGCAAATGCACGACTGGGATATGGGTAGATAACAGAGTAGCGACTACCTACCCGGTGTTCGCGGACTCATATCTCAATACGGTAGATCACACTTGTGCGTTAGTGACTTCTCAATCGGAAAAGTCATAACACTTATCACTCGCCCACACACCCACTAGGCGACGACAACTCTTTTCTGAACTCTTTTCTCAACTCCTTTCCTGAAGTGAATAGGGACCGCATCAAGGAAAACGCACAAAACTTCACAGGTAAGTATAAAAAATATTTTTCGCAACACAATTAAGAGGTATTTCTCTTATGCGGACCGCATTCACTACATAGAAAACAACTCAAACGTTGATTATGAAATAACCAGGATTTGCTAAATATATTATATACATATATACTTACTTCAACAATTAAATTATCCGATTATATAATTCAATACAAATGTGATATAAATGTACTTTTGTAATGTGATGAAGTACAATTATATGAAAAATCGAAAAAACTAAATGGCCCATCGACCTAATAATTTTTTACTATTGATAATTACGTCAATTATGTCCCGTTAATTGAAATATTCGTACACCGAGCAAAAACAATCGACCAAAAGCAGGTTTGAGTGTACGTGTTAAGGATATAGTAAGAAAGTTATATTCAGTAGCCGCCGAAGCTCGCATACCCACCACTATGCTTTTAGCAATCTACTCTCCAAGTGCTTGAATTTGATACCCATATCGCTGGAACCATTAAATGTCGCGGTGTCTACCGTATTCATTTCAGAACTAACCCATTCTTAGGCAGTTAATAGACCTTTATTTGAGCAATGTACAAAATAGTTTTAAACATTCTGTCTTGATTGCCTTGTCATAAATAAGCACAAAAACTGAAAAAGGTGAAAAAAAAAAAAAATTTAATCACATGTAACTTTATGTGGGCGTGGCCGATTTTTTCCATTTTTGCACATAAATACTACAGTAAATATGGAGAATTTCAGCCTCCTATTTTATATAATTTCTGAGTAACGCAAAAGCACCTAGAAATTTTTGTTAACAAAAAAGGGTAGTCGGGTTCAATTTAGGCTCTGCTTTGGTCGGTTTGGTCCATTTTCAATGCCAACCTGCGTGCAAAAACTTCCAATGTTCCTACCAAAGGTTGAAGCCGATATCTTCATTTTTGCGATTAGAAGAATGTCAACGACAAACACCATTCAGACGGACAGACACGGCTATATCAACTCAGAATTTTACGCTGATCGGGAATATATATAGCTTATGGGGTCTCTGAACCTTCCTTCCTTCCGAGTGTTACGTGTATTATAGAAAAAGAAAACAAAATGAGTATACCCCCGTCCTCCAGTGGTAGGTATAAAAATGTATTGCGTGTTGCACGATGCATTCATTCGTCAGATGCCATCGTAAAAATACAATAAATAGAAGTTAATTGCTTAACCGCCATATTTGAGGTACATTTGTGCATATATCGCCTCCATATGATTAGCATCTACATAATCATTCATTCAATTTTTAATTATACCCACTGAGTTTTTAGGATAGTTAACGTTCAACTATCCGAGTCCTTCAAGCTAAAAATTTTCTAGAGCGATTATTATTAGCTGTGTTTTAAATCGACTCGGAAATATTTATTGTTTATCTGCGCATCTCGGTATTGTAAGCGAAATGATCTCGATGATATTGTTCATTCCTCGTCAGGGCCGATTGACGAAACGTGTGATGTGTAAAAACACATTTATTTCAATGGCGTCCATCATGCCTTATTCGTTATCTTGATTGGATTACGAGAAATAATGCTCGCTATATCATACGACAAGGACAAGGAGATGCACTGTGTATTATTATATATTTAGCAAACATAAGTTTTTTTTTTTCCTTTACTGCTCTTCGTGATAATCGTCTGGCAATTTATCATAAGAGTAGATCGGAAATTTTGAACATAGCATTAATTTGATCAGTGACAAGTATTGCCTAATTTAACGGACGGAATGATATTGGATAGAACCGACGATGGAGGACGATCTTTTTTTCTATAAATTTATAAATGTAGCGCATAATCGGACGTACTTCTGGACTTATGAGACACTTTTTCAAAAAATCGTATTATGCTGAATAAAAGGGAGTTGCAATGGTTGTTTGCCAGGAACTACAATAAAATTCTCATTATTTACAAAAGTAAATTGAAATGATTCGCATTTGACGTGAAATACATAAATTTAATTATAGTACGAAGTGTGTTTTTATCTTTTCTTTCAAATACATTTAGAAAATGGAATACTATTTTTGTTTAAAGAAGAAAACAGTAGTTAATAAAATTGCACAGTAAGACTCTATAGAGTATTTTAACGTGAAATTTTTCATCTTTGCATCATATAACCAATTAAAAAGTACATATCTATGCACATTATTATTAAAAGTTACTTCCAATATTGTTACGCCATAACAGGTGGTGGACGGGTTTTGAGATAAACAAATGCAACAATTAATAAAGCAAATACCCCAAGAACTGGTAACACAATTGTTTTAATTTGATTTTGTATGGTCAAATTTTCCAATTTACGTTCCTTGCGTTGTTTACGCGTTTCTTTCACTTTACCCTTAAGTTGACGCATTTTCCGGGACAAAGTTCTAAAAGACAATAACTTAAATCCACGTAATGTTTGAAATATAGGGAGAAAACTTACTTATTTATCTAAAAATTTTAAAAAAGAAATATGCATATATATATATGTAACCAATCTAATGGAACGCAAGCAAATGCACACATCAGCCGCAATCTGCCTGTTGCTGACAGGCAACGTTACCACATGTTAAAATTTGCTTCTTCTACTTAATACTTAACGCGGACCGGGAACACCAACTTTCTTTCTGCGGTATCGTTTATGTGGCAACACCAAAGTAGTGGTGAAAAAATATGCCAATATTAACATCGTTATGTCTTATATAATGTCCCTTTTCAAATCGCATTAATTCCCTGTAATTGCTTCTGTGGACGCAATGAATGTATTATCAATCTATTCGAACACCATTTGGAAAACAAAATTCATGCATGTCAGACAAGCCTCACTTGAGAGTTCATTTAATTGACTGAAGGCAGTCGTGCGGCTATGATTCATTTCCGATAAAAGATCAGAACAGTATGATGCCCTGCCCTACCTTGTGATTTAATGAAAGACTTCTTTTATTGTTAAAAAGCGTTCATAAGGGATACGCAATGTTAGCTTGCTAAGAGTTCAAATTAACTTGCGCAAATGGAGGAAATTTCGCCTTTGCAACTTATTTCATATCAAATCTAATCTACTTCGGTTTCTATTAACTATTTTATAAATATATTTTTTCCCTGCAATTATTTTCAAATAAATTTGTTCGCGTAAAGATTTTAAATTAAAATAATTAACTACCATTATAATATAATAAATTTAAACTAAAATTTTTATTTATTGCTATCCAGAAAATCTTTGGCTTCATTAATTTTTGCTGCCAAATAGGGAGAACCACCACGATCTGGATGGTTTAATAACATAATCTTTTTGTGTGCATCTTTTATCTATTAATTCAGAAAAAGGAAAAATTTTTATTAAAAAACTTTTAACTTTAAAGTTTTCATTAAATAAACATACTTTCCCTTTGGAAGCGCTCGGACTCACACCCAGTATTAGTGCCGCTTCCCTTCTAGACATTTTTGGTTCAAAGCCTCCTTTATAATATTTACTATTCGATATTGTTTCAGCGTTGAATTTAGGTAAATTTTTTAAGGTCTCAGTAAACTTGTTGGTCATAGAAGGCATCCGACGCACTAAATGCTTTCCGGCGAAACCTATCGCAGCGACCCCTAAACCAGCTAATATCATGGAGGACGCCTACGGAAAACAGCTTTCTTTTTATTAGATGATTTTAACCATCAAGCACATTTACACATTTCTTACCATTACATGTTTTTGCGTTGTCCCTCTTTAGTTTCCTGTTAGTTCTATTGGCAAAAATATACAAAAAATGAAGCACGCAATTTAATGATATTGTATAACCTGTGAGGTTAACAACGTAAATAAATAAGTGATTGCCATTTATATTAAAGAAAGAACTATTATTCAACTCTGCAAAAGTTTTCAGGGCAGACAGCTGATCAACTGTTTGAAAATAATAGCACCAAAGTATTTGTTGTTATAAGTTTCTTTGATCAATTGCATGTTGTTTTATTAGAAAAACTGCCTCCGGCTAAGTTGAATTTTTTATTGATCACGTTGTGGGCAACCAACCAGATTTGCAAATGGAAAGCGTGGCCGCTTGATACGAACGTATTTTACAATTTCATCGCTTCTGGTTGGTAGATGATTCCCAATTTCATACCGAGTACCCGGCTTTGCGTTCAATAACTAAACTTATCTAATTGTACTTATCAAATGTACAAGTTAGCCTAATTTCTTTTTTATTATCAAATTAAACAGTAGCTAAAGTTTCTGCTATATACAGAGCGAACATAAAGCTTCCAAATTCTCTGCTAATCCATAAAAAAACATCTGTTGCAATTCTATACAAACAAACAAACAAACAAATAAAAAACATCTGTTGAAATTCTATACAATAAACAAACAATTTGGCAATTTAACAACAAAAGCAAAAGTAGTAGTGAATAAAGCATATAAATAAATAAATAAACCGTTTAAAAAATAAAGCATATTGTTTTTTTTCCCCCTTTTTTAACTTTAAATCCATTATACAGTATAGGAAACGAAGAAAAACGGAAAGATTACTCTTTGATTAGACTTAATAAAACATATATAAACATATACACATATTTCGTCATCAAAAAGAAGATAAAACTGAAAAGAAATTATAACAGGACGTATAAGCAATTTCAATTATTACATTAATATTACACCTAAAGGTAGGCAAGCAAAGCCAACGTTAAATTCTCTGCTATTTGCAGAAAGAACGTAATACTCTATGTTAATCGCAAAGCCGTCGGCAAAAGTCCCCAATTTATTTATTGGGTTATTTTATTTTATCTTTGTCACGGAATCTTGCACAACCAGCAGAAAAAACTACAGCGTTGTAAAATATGCACACAATTTATTTTCAACCTCAATATGGACAAATAATGTAGACAGTACAACTTTGCTGTACTTTTATTGAATTAATATATTTATTTATTGTAACTGTTATTTGAAAGTTGTTAATTAAAATAAAGTAATAATAAAGTAATAATGGAATACGAAAAAAGTCTAAAGTCTAGTGTTGCAATATTTTTTTTAATTTTAAAAATAAACAGGAACGAAAAACTTGCGGTTAAAGAGCTAGGGGAGTTTTGTAGAATACAATACCTCTCTATAGGTTTATATTTTTATAAAAAACAATGTTTTTTAACCATTTTTTTAAGACATAATTTTGTTCATAAAATGTACGATTTTTAAGTACAGTTATTTTAAATAAATGATAACAAATACTAAATAGAGATGCTACGAATTTCATATGCTTATATAGAAAAAATACACAAGCTCAAAAAAGCGATAAACTTGGCATCACTGGTTAAAGGATGCCTACTGCATCTTAGAAGGAATAAGTTTTATTTCTTTTCCCCGAAGAAATATATAAATGCATTGGTGTGTGTGAGTTTCATTGGACTTCATAAATAATGATTATTTCAACGTTACATAAACAAAGCATCTTGTAAAATGTCGTAATCGGTGATTTAATGTAAATTAAAATATTAATTGTGCCATCCAATATAAGTAAAGCCATTGAAAAGTAATTTAAAAATATTTCGCTTATCATAAAAAAGTAAGCAAATTATTTAGTTTTCCAAGTTTCTCCAAACGTTAGTTCTCAAGGATGTTTATCTTTTTATATATATACAGTCAGCTGTGTGGTGTTTAAATAGCCTTTCGTTTTTTTTCCAATTTAGATGCTACCAAATAGCCAAATAGGTTTTATTACATAAAAGTTGTTTGTGTGTATATTTATAGTGGGATTTTTTTATTTTTCACCAGTGACGTTAAATCATAGTAAAAGAAAATCGCTAAATTTATTTTTAAAAAAGCATTAAGCTTTAAGATTGTTTGAAAACTTAAACTACGCTTTTCTGATATCTCCCCTATTCAATTAAATAAAAACTATTTAGAAATTCGTCTTGCATGTTAAATATTGTGATATACAGAGTCTTGCGCGAAAATGCTTTACTTTGATTTGATGTTAAAAACATGATGTTTTCTATGAAAAGCACCCGATTGATATCATTCTTCTTCATTTACAGAAATTTTCCCGTTCAACTTTTTTGTGCTGATCTGGTTTTAAAGTGCGAAGATTTTACCCAGTAAATATAATAAGTGAAAAGGAAGAATTTTCAATAAAAATGGATAATAAATAAAAAAAAAGAAGAAAAGTGTTTTGAAAACGGGGTGAAATATATTTAAAAAAGTTTAACTTATTTAAAATTCTGGAAGAAAAACAACAGTAACAACATTAAGAGATAAATTTGTAAAAACTCGTGCAAAAATATAGAGCCTTCCTGCAAAACATTGCTCAATAACAGCCGCCAAACTGGAGCGTATTCCGGAATATCTACGCGACACTGTCGATTGGTTAATGGGGTAAGTTTTGTTAAATTTCCTCATAACTGTATATGTGTTGGAAAGCAAAATAAATTGTTTATAATTGCCTATTGTAAATAAAATTGAATTGCATATGTAGGCAAGTGTATGTATATATGCAAATGCACACGTACAAACATATGCATATGCCTCATCTGATCATTGCAGTGAAATGTAAAAATTTGGTCATTCCGCAGAAAAAAAAAAAAAACTATGTATTCGTTTTGGTTTGATGACTTAGTCTTGCTAGTAGTCACCAACATCCACCATTTGGCTTGGTGCCAATTGGCCTCGTTTCTTCTTTTTTTTTTACATTTTGTTTGCAAAACTACTCTTCTCTATATTTTCATTTCTTTGGCCATCTCTTCAGTTTGTTGGTTTCTTATGCATTATTTTTTCCATTTTTGTTCATGTGCACAAGTGCAACACATACACTTAAATATATGCATAAAAACAACAAAAATTAAAATAATGGCATTAAAGTAATATAATGCATATGTATTTGTGATGTCACAGGAGAAATATTGTATGGTTGCCTGTATGCTAGTGATTTCGTGCCCAAGAGAATGCGTGTATTTGTGTGTGCGGGAGTGTTCTTATATTTTGCAAGGAAAGTGGAGGAGGCGAGAATTTTCGCAGATATCAGTAGGACGCACGATTCATGCATCCATCGTCCTCTACATATATGTTCCTAACACTCTTCTTTCTTCTTCTTCGGACTGCTTTCAAGTATTATTTCGCGGGGGCTTGTAGCGAGTCCATCCGTCTTCTTAAAGATTAGCTGGTTTCCATTCTATTTTAGCTAACTACCTCTATGGCAAACTTGCTCTTTTTAGAACTTTTCACCTCGAGCGTTAACACACATAGGATAGTGAATTGGTATATGACGGGTTCGCATAGCGCATGATATATATGTCAATTTGACCGTCCTGGGCATAGCATCCTAATCGCTCACAGCGTATTTGATATATAAATTTTGAATTATACTTGTTTTAAAGGTGAACTACTGAGTTCAATGTTATTGTCGTGTTAGACTGGTAATCAACGGTAGAAGAATTAATGTATGCCAAAAGCTATCATGTGATTAGTAAGCTTGATAACGCTTCGTCGTATTGCGAATTTTGGGGTAGGAAACGTTAGCAATACCGAATTGGAATATATCTTGGGCGTTCAGATGTTCCACCTTTTAAGTTCATATCTATTGCGGGTTGAAATTTTCGATCTATCTACCTATCATCTGACGAGATGGATAACAGACTCCCATTAGCTATTTCCGTATTATCACAAACCATGTTACAGGTAATACATGTAACATGTATGTAGTATACGTAGGCATTGATCCAGGGTTAAGCTTTCAATCCATTTCGTAAGATTAAGAACATGCTTTATAGAATCTGTCAGTTCTGAATTGTGTTGATTTGTCTGAAATGCAAATTAAAATGTTTTTCGCAAAAAATGCCTCTCTCACAGGAATATAGGTTTCTTAGTTGTTCAAGCTTTCCATCAAGCTATATTTTACGTTAATAAGCTGTGAAGTGAATGATAAGCTTAATTTTATTATCAATATGTCTGTTTTAATTTGTGACCTTAATGATGGATCAGTAACATAATAAATATCTAAGAGGGTGTGTGTGTGTGTGTACGAGCATTTATAAGATATTTTATTAAAGTATGGTAGTCGTTGACAATACAATATTGTTAACATCACTCGAGCTTCAGAATGGAACTGAGAACAAATTTCTTTTAAAACTTTTCGACATATATGTATACGAGTAATTTTATCATAAAAAACAAATCAACGATGAAAGAAACGAAGAGATTACTTACCTATTAATAGTATAGTATTGAAAAGGAGCATTTATAAAATAACCCCTACCTTTAAGGGTATGGTAGATAACATAAACGTACATATATATATATATATATATAATATAGTATAGGTGAATAACAAATAGCAATTGGGAGATCAGCTTTTAAAAATAAAGAAATTGTATGGTAAGGCCAAGGCTAAATGTTGATGATTATGCTTATGACGTAACTGGACGGTCGACATAATACAGCTTTTCGGTGAGAAGAAAAGAGTAGAGTTAACAAAATTTACAAAATTTACTTTTTTTTTTTTTTTTTTTTTTTTTTTTTTTTTTATAATTCACATAAATGCGCTTGAATATACATTTGCGTATATGGCATTACAATAGACTCGCAAGTTGAAGTTTTTTTCTACTACGATTGTGTTAACCTTCCTCAACCTTTCCATCTTTTCTTTGTTTTTTTCCTTTCTTCCCATTATGTTTTGAAGTATAAAAAGACGAACAAGTAAGAAAGTGTAACCGCATTGAGTCGAATCGTGGACAAACGACAGCTATGCATAAACGAGGTAGCCTGTTGTTACTTAAAAAACAAGTGCGATAATGTTTAATTCGTTGACGACAATGTTGCAAATTATTAACGGCATATTTGTGGAGTTTCTTTCTTTAATTTTTGCCCCCATCCAACCTGATCAAAAGAAATCAATTAAGATTATTTATATTAAGTTTCAGCTTTTCATGTTATTGGAATTTTTCTGATAGGAAAGAGTGCCTTTTGTTAATTGCAGACTGTAATTATCAAGAAACGAGCGAAGGACAAACAGCTCTGTAAACCTGTTTCCAGCTTACGTACGCCTTATGGGATTTCTGATACATATATACATGTATATACATATAT